AATTTTTACTATCGTACTAAAAAAATTTGTGATAAACACATTTAAGACCGTTTTTATATGTACATGTGACATAAATATCGGATATGAAACTTAAGGAATTTTCGAACTGACTTTAGCACAAAACATCTTCTTGCGCGTTTTAGAGATTAATACCTTGAAGACTGCTTGCCGACCATAATATGGAATCTTGTGTGAAAGTACACGTAACCGGAGATCACACGTTTACGTAAGAATTTATCGTGAAATGTTTATTAGTAGCGAACCTCAGATACTCAAGTACTGTATATACAGATTGTTATAATATATTATCAACATCCGCAGATATTATTGTTACATTGGCACTTCAGCAGTAAGTGTCCTGACTTATTGCCTTGGTAATTTTTAAGGAAAGAAACAAAAACAAGAAACAGTATTTAGTTATTTTTACGTACCGTTCGTTGTATGCTTCATTTTGTAACGTTACTCAATGTCAATTAACACGAGAAATATTATTATCGCACGTATTACACGCACGCACGTGCGCAAATTGTACTTGAATTAAATTAAAATCCCCTGAAACTCATAAAACCTACAATTATTTCAGTAATTATTATTTTGATGAATCAGTTCCTTCCAGCAAACGCACGTATTTGTGTACGTGATAAATATCATGTATAACTGCTTTTACAAGGCATTTCCTCTTCCTGTATTACTGATTTATAATAATCTGCTAAAGCTCGTAACACTACACGTACTTCACATTGGAGACTGAGAAATTAGAGATTAGAATTCGACCAGATAATTTTAATTTTTATCTGTTTTATGTCTTACAAATATTTTGTAAATGTTTTATAAATACTATGTGCTCTCTGGGTATATGAAAAAAATGCATGTAATTTTATATGGAAATTACATGTCTATGACTGGAAAATTACTTAAATTACATAAATATGATTGGAAATTTACTAGAAATTGTAAATTTCCAATCATATTTAGGTAATTTTCCGGTCATAGACATGTAATTTCCATGTAAAACATAATACATGCATTTTTTCAGTGATATATACGTTTCTCGGTATATGAAGATAAATGATTGATATCCTTTTTTAATAAATATATTTTCATTCTAAAATATCACAATTGAATATCTTTTTTTTATTTTACATGCAATGCTTTATTTAAAAGAAACAATCTCAAAAGAATTTTAGAAGGTCACTTTTTATACAAAACTTCTTTAAATTTTGAAGCTTAAAATTGTAAGATTGTAAGATTGTAAGTATACATACATATATATTAAAAAGTATATGTGTAACAAAGACATAGAGAATGGATTGAACGATCCGTGGTCAAAATGGTCGATAAAAGTAAGAGAGAGAGGGACCGTGGAAGACGGTCAATCTGTATCTCTTTCCATTCAACAGTATAATGGGAGAGAGAATGAGAGGGAGATTAGCCGTCTTCCACACGGTTCCTCTCTCTCATTATTATCGACCACATTTGATACACTACTTAGATATGGATCCGGCAGTCCATTCTCTATGTCTTTGATGTGTAAAGATAAAATAAAAAACTGAATGTTCGGGAGGGTATCTTGCTCGCAAATTGCGAGTTCTTATATTTTTTTTAATTACTTCTTATTTAAAATACAAAAATAACCAACGGACAACAGAGCTAATGAGAGTCAGTGCGGATAATCAAGCGCAAGTTTTGTAGATTTTTTTAATAAGATGATAAGTAGGGAGGCTGTAATGGATAGGTAGGGATTCTATAGGAACAATATATAAACAGATTCCATATAGATTATAGAACATTTGTTGGCCGGTATTCATAGTCGGTTCTTATTTTAAGACCGTCTTAAAGTCGCTAATACGGCCTTCTGATTGGTTCATGACTTCTTAAGACTGTACTTAAGACGGTCTTGAATATAAAACTGACTATGAATACCGGCCGTTGTCTATAATTTACCGGAGATAAGAAAAATATATTTTTATGTGAAAACTATCTTATCAATAACTGATAAGATATATCAACAATTAATAATAACATAACAATAGAATTGTTATCAACAATTAATAATATCATACATTGATGCACCATCAGTCGATAATTTAAGAGCCCAAAGATTTAGGAAGAAACAGACAGATAAATTCGTAAACCTTATAAAAGGTGACGCATCAGAGCTGAAGCCCGCCATTACATGACGCCACGATGGTTATTAAGGCGCAATTCTTTAAATATTGATTGAAAGCGGGTTGGAGTCTGTGGGTG